ACTTCTTCGCGCGTAGACTGTTGGAGATACTATATTTCCTACGTCAATGAACTGCACATGATGCCATAAATAATACGTCAATCTTCAGCATAGAGCAACTCAACTTAACGATCCAGAAGTTGTGTATTTTCAGGTTTGGTGGAGGGTGTTAATCTCAAAGTTCATATACATCATCAAGGCATATAGCTTCTTACCGTAGTATAGCCGTCTATTGCCTCTATAAAATTTTTATCTCGAAATGCCATGTCGCCTCGCTTACGCGCCTCCAACATATCTCGAATCTGTTGAGTCCATTCTTGGAAGGACAGCTGCATAAATCCAGTTGGAGATGAAGATTTTAGCATTTAATAAGGATCAACAATCTAACGGGAAAAAACTTCCAAGAAATGAAACTATAGAATTGAGTTTCAGTATCAGAGATGGTTTACTTCGCAGGATCCATCATCATCCTTATAATGTGACACGAGCAAAAGCTGATGAATGGCTGTTAGGTCCACTCGAGAACAAGCATCGCCCATTACAGAGAGAGGCAGTTGTGGCACCAAAGGTATTTCCTCGTGCTTTGGGATACCCAGCATTTCATATGATGGAATCTATAAGCAAGAATTTATCACATTAGAAGTTAAAAGTACTGAATAAATTTGACTGAAGTATCTCTTCGAAAAGAAAAGCACCACAAGAGGTCCACAATATATATATATATATATATATATATATATATATATATATATATGAATAAATAAAAACCGCTCACATCAGAGTTATTTTGGAGAGGGGTGAGTGCTGCTACAAGTTCTCTAATACTTGGTCGATTCCTAGGTTCATATTGCAAGCACTGTGAGGCAAGCTCAAATACTAAAGTCGCCTCTTCAGTTGAAAATTTGCCATCTAAATGTGAATCCATCAAGAGCGTAATGTTCTTACCTCCAATCATATCAAGTGCCTGCATGGAAGTCGAGGAAATAAATGGAAAAGAAAAAAAAGAAGAAACCCATCTTCTTTGATAAAATTAAACATCGGCATTAATATGCTTCTGTTTCATGCCCCTAAATTAGACATTGGTAAAAACTATAAAGTACTTACTTGATTCGGAGGGACATGCTTTCCACTAAGAAGGTCTAAGAGGATAGTCCCAAAGCTATACATAACGCTTTCAGGAATTACAGTTCCTGAAAAAAGCAGCCAATTATGACAGTGATACAATCAACAAGTGGAAGAGAACAATACGGTTAAGTTCTTGCTGTAATATCCAAGAGACATTCATAAGGATCCTAATGCTCATTCTCTTTTCCTTCATAACTAAGATTCGTACGGATCCTACTGGTGATCAAGTGTTCTATAACAAGTCTTTTAACATTTGATCAATCTGGAGTTGGACTTTCCGTTAAGGGAGATTCGATGAATAATCAGATAACTGAAGGCTATAAAATTCTAATATACAATTTCGTATGGATAACCAACAGATCTATGCTCCTTTTGTAAATGGTAGAAGAAAGAAATGACTAATTAAGTTTGATAATAAAAAGCGGATGTTGTTCAAGTACCATCTCTTAAATACTCTGGAGGTGTATAAGCTAAATTGGTGCTGTAACTTTTTCCGTCCATGCTGTTTTTCATCAATCCAAAACATGATAGCCGAGGATCGCCATTCTGCAAAATATCTAGCCACATTAATACAATATGATTCGAAAGATCCTTTTGAGTGGAAATTTTTCTTTTAACGAGAACGCTTCAATGTGGGTGTTTCAAAATAAAAAATCTATCGCCCTCATAAAAATTAGAAAAATGGGCATTTGAAAAGGAAAGCCACAAGTTTTCTCGCAATTCTTATCACAAATATCAAGGAAATTATTATCGTTTTCTTTCTAGCGAAAAAAAGGGGAAGGGGGTTTGTTGATCGTTAAAGCACCTCGTCAAATAGAACCCTGTCTGCATTCAAGTCGTGGTATAATGGACGTTTTTCCTGACAACAATATTGTAATGCTTCAGCGATGTATAGAGAAACTCTTAAACGCATTGCCCACTCAATGGTTTGTTTCTCCCCTGTCAACGAAATTGTATAACCGATTACGTTTTACGTCTAAAAAAAAAAAAAAAATGCACCAGATGTCCAATTTGTATGGATTGATGTGCATGATCTCACTCATTGTTTTACTCATTCAAGTTTTCAAGAAAATAAGAACACAACAAAAGTAAGAATAAGCAAAAATACGGAATCAACAGATTGGAAGTATAATGCATCATCGATAGCTTCGTCTCCAGGGAAGACGCAGATCATAAACTTGTAAAAAGAAAAATTATGGCAGTTCTCTTTTATGGCGATTCTACATCGTCCATAGGCAGATTGAACATCTAAACCATACAATAGAACCATACAACGACGACGAAGAAGAAGAAGACTGGTTTGATATGATAAATTCCAGAATCATCAATCAAGAATGGGTTCAAGAGACTTACAGTGGAACAAATGCTTTGCGAGGGTGCAATTGGGCATATACTCCGCAACAAGCAGCCTTTCGTCGCCCTCGCAGCAGTAGCCGATTAAATTGGCAAGTCTTTCGTTTCTCAATTTCCCCACACCAGAGGCTTCCTCCTGAATAAGAATTCAACACCAACAACATAAGCGAATAACAATTAATAGCAAGGGAAGGAAATGGTGACAATCAGAATCCGAGAAATTGAGAAAAATGAACACGAGTGTGTACGGCGAACTGTTTGCGGTCCGGCCACGCAGCTTTGGTAAATTTTTTAACTGCAATACAGCGTCGATTGTTCTCTTTCTGAAGACATCCCTTGTAAACGACGTTGGGCGATTTATCACTGCTTTCCGATACAATGTATTCGGAGAAGAAGTTGTTCGTCGCCGCCTTGAGGTCGGCGAACGAAAACTCAACGCATTCATCAGCCGGCGGGGCTTCTTCTCCATTCTGATGGTGGGTATTCTTCTGGCCTTGAGGATTGTTTTGTTCATTAACATCGGCTGAAGGTTTTTTCAGTTGAAGTAACGACGATTGGCAGCAGCCCATAACTCAATCGATTCAACTCCTATCCTGGAATTGAAACTGGAATTTGAATCAAAGAAACAAAAACGCAGAAGCGGGAAGAGATATGTATCAGAGAGGTGCCTGAAATGTAAACTCTACGAAATGCGGATCGTTGGATTGTGAGAATAATAGAGAAACGTAGCGAGGTTGCAGCTTCCATTTCTCCTTCTCATTGCCGCCGTTGTCTCGTCGGTGCCCGATTGAGTTTCAGTTTTTCCTCTCCAGCAGATAACAGGGGCTTCGTCTTTCTGGTTTCTTCTGCAAATGAGTTGTCGTAAGAGATAATAATGCAAATATTTGTTATAACTTATAACTTCCCTTTCATTTCTCGCGCCACAACCTGAAATTTATATTCTCTTTTTTTATTTATTAAAATATTTTATTTTAGTTCCTTAATCTTTTAAATTCCTCATTAATAATTTAATACAATTTTTTTTAATACACAATTTTAGTTCTTAACTTTACAATATAAAATATTAGTCATTATTTTCAATTTTCAATTTATTATCATTCAATAATAAAATAAAATAAAATTATAGGTTTCCTCAAAATATAACTTAATTCAATATTTTTTTTATTATTTTTATTGTAAACTATTTTAAACATATAATATTATAATGGCAATTTAATCTTAATCTCCCAAGTGAATTAAAATCATATTCTAGATGGTATTATTGTACTTATAAAAATGAGATTATCTATGGCTGAATTTTGTGATTAATCATATTTTATTAGCATCTTAATTATTAATTGAATTAAAATTTTAGCATATATGTATAAGTTTTATATAGCCTAATTTTCATTTAAATTCAAGTCAATTCTCTTGAAAAAGTCAAAGTTGGAACATTTTAAGTAATAAGAATACAATTTTAAAAAAATGCTCAAATAAAAATTAATGTTTAGCTGCAAAAAGTAATAATAACAATTTATGTGAAACTTAGGAGTATAAACTTTTATAGTTATGAGTTTAATTTATTGAAAATTTGGATGTTTTTGACAATAGCAGTGTCGGCAACGGCAATGTCTGGTTTTCTTTTCTGAAGGGTCCAATTCAAAACATCTCATGTTCTTCCAGAAGGTCACGTCCAACAAAATATATATTTTATATAATCATATCCAAAAATAATCATAAAAATAATCATATTGGAAGATGGGCGCCGTGAATTTTGTAACTTAATTGATGAATTATGCACATAGCTTGACCTATAAGAGTGGAGAAGTCGTGTGAGGCAGCCAAACCGCGTGTGGCCCTTAGCCTAAACCAAAAAAGCCTAAACCAAAAAAGCCTAAAACTAAGGCTTCTAAGGTAATATTTTGAAATAAATTTGGATTTTCAAAATTTCATTTAGTCCCATTTTCATCCTCCACCCTTGAGTTAATATAAATCGTAAGAAGATAAATTTAGATTTTGTGGCACTTGTTTAACCTAGCGAACAAGTTAGCCTTGAGCCACATTTGAGCTAAAAAACAAGTAACAACGACTCTTATAGCATATAACCCTGGTAGTAGAATTGATAACTAGTCACATCCATGAATAATACATTTTGAAGCATTTTAGTTTTAGCGAGTGCGAACATGATTTTGGTGACTAATGATATACTATTATTTTGACACAATAAAAAATACTAAAGGTTTATCTAACCTAAGAGCTATGAAAAGGGGTGTGGAACGAGTATATGAACATAAACAACAAGTCCTAGACCGCCACAAGCAATACATCTTGAAGAAGCATGACCATGACAACTACACCTAAATTTTGTATATTTAGAAACATTATTTTTGAAATTCAACATTAAAGTAGAAAAATCATCATCCCAATCTTCTACGCACATTCCAAAGATCATGTCATCGATTATCGTAAAAACCAGCTCATCTATACATTACACTACACGCACATTATTATAATTAATTGTATTTTTCTCTAAATCATATTTATTTTCAACTCCCCCTTTTTTCTCTTCACAGAAGGGATCAAAATATGTGAATCATGTACATATATTTAGTTAATTAGTATAGTAATTTGGTGAAAATAGTTGCATCTATTTTTGTAATATCTGTTGCTGCGACAGAGCGTTTAGCAACGATACTCTGGCGCTGATCAAACTTCTGAAAACCTTCTGGCTTTGAGTTTCAATGTCTCCAATCCAATCCTCCAAATCTCGCATCTTCTTCATCGTCCTTTTCGTCTCCTCTTTCCCTTTCTTCTTCAATTCTCTCAAATTCTCAGATCCAATTTCTCTGAACTCTCGAATCCCCTTCTCCTCTTCCGCCGATTTTTTCCCCTTCTTCGATACCTGATCAAATCCTGTCCACGCCCATGGCTTCCTTGTCCTGAATGATTCTGCGATTCCGTTGAACAGCGCCAGAGAAACCGCCATCGTCACTCCGATGACTTCTCCGATCGCGGCAGCAAGATCGGTGGTGATGTTGCCTTGCTCGGCCGTTTTGGTTTTCTTCTGTACGGTCGAAACTAGTTTCGCCATTTGCCTAGCTAACCTCTTCCTAGATTTAACATATAACGCGATCTTCTCTTCGTCTTTTCTCCTCATCGCGACCTGCGCGGCGGAGTGCTCTTCTTTGAGCGAGAGAATCAAAGTCTGGAAGATTCCATAAACGTCGACGAAGCGTAAGAAATGTTCGAGAAGCTTATCCATCCAGTGCGGCTGGTGGCGGAGGGATTCTTGAGTCTGAGGGAGATTGAGAATGTCGTCGAGATGGTTGTGTACGGTTTTGAGGCGGTTCAAGCCGTCGCAGATCCAGGCGGCGGTACGGGACTCGGAACTGAGCGACCAGGAACGGAGATTGGCGATCTCGTCCTTGAGGTGGAAAATCAAGGGGTGGGGTCTGGAGGGAAGACTGATGGAACGGACGTGATGAGAGAGGGCGGGCTTGGGGTGAGCCTTGTTCGGAAAAGAGAAGGATCGCCGGAAAACACCGACCATGGCTGTGATTTCAACGATGCGGTGAGAGCGGGAAGAAGATGTGGGGAATTTGGGAGTTAGTGGTGAGGAAATGGGAAGGGAATTTTGTAAGTATTTAAAGGGGAGCGGAGAATAGCGCGGAATTTGAGGGCAGAGAGAAAGTGAGGCGCACGAGGGGAAGCTAGAGTGGGGAAGCAAAAATGAACAATATATGACTGCCTTTTTTGCGCAGGTCTTTCCCTACGTTTAAAATTGCTTTACATATTTATTTTTTTAGATATAAAATTAATTTAACAAATATAAAATTATTTTTTATTGTACATTAACTCTCAATTTTCTCCAATAATTTCTTTTCTAAAAATTAATTAATCTAATAAATATAAATTTAATTTTTATGTAACTTTTTCTCATATTTATAATTTTTATAAAAGATTAAAAATGTCAATAACCTCATATATTTGTTAACATTTTTCAATTCATATTAGATACAAAATTAGAGGTTAAGTTGATTCATCCATTAAGAAAATTAAAAAAAAAAAAAATGAATTTGTTTATAGTGTATAATTTAAAATAAAATATATTTGCCACTAAAAAGGTTTATAGAAAAGTAGTAACCGTAAAAGGCGGTGTATTTATCCTATTGGTGTGGAACAGGAGTACAGGATCCGCGAATAAGTAGAACATGAAAATCAAACCCACGGGGCTGCCAATGATGTGGGTACACGGAGGCGGTTGTGTTCTACACAGTCCTCGTGGGGAGGGGACACCACGTGGCTCGACACGCTGGAGCAGTTATTTTGCGGGGCCCACATACGCGCTGCCTCTTTTTAGTTGTAAGCAATAATAAGATATTAATTAGTTTAATTAGCAAACTTAATGATCAAAATCTCATCACAAATATTTAATAGGATTAAATTCCACTCAATCAGCTCTTATTTATTTTTTTATCCCACTGAAGTTTCACGGTTGTTTCTTTTTTTCTTTTGGATAAATTATTTTAACAAATTAATAATATAACTTTGAGCATGATGACCACAACAACAATATTAGATAGAAAAAAAAGAGCACTTTTTAAGATTAAAAATTCCTACAAAATAATTCTATGCAGATGTTAATGTTAATTTCAATTATAAATACGCCACTTAATTATTTATTTTCAATAAGTAATTTTAAAAAAATAATATATACTAATACGAGAACCCACCTTAATTAGACAGAGAAACGAGACATTTCTTATAAGGATGTAGAAACCTCTCTTTAATAGACACGTATTAAAATCGTAAAGCGATATGCAACAAGCCAACGCAGACAAAATTTGTTAATGGTGGGCTTGAGCTATTACAAACGACATCAATACTGGCTCCAATGAGGATGAGTTGTGAGATCTCACGTCGGTTCCTGATAACGTAAGGGTATATTGTAAAGCACTATTATCATGTGAGCTCGGACTGTTACAACTAATTTGATAGTTGCGACAATCTATACACATACATTAAATGAACCTCTTAAAATTTATGTAAGATGTCTATGATTCGATATTTGACATTAAATTAAGGAACTATTAAAATGAACCCCATGAATTTCAATAATGCAATAATGAAAAAAAAAAAAATTATGCACCTAGAGAATTAAGATGTTTAATATAAACTGTAAAGGTCAAATTGGTAATTTATGTATTTGTTATTTATTCCATATATAGAACTCTATATCTTAGGCAGCTAGAGAATTATAATTGAACCAACCATTCAAAGATTCATTATTATATATAAAAAAAAAAAAAAAAAAATTACATTGAGATGTGATGGGACTTCTCATTCTTCTTTGAGCCTAGAATTTGAACCATTAAATTATAAACATGGAATCTATACACAGTTTAAATTAATTTTTATTAATTATGGAAGCTCTAACTTAATCAGACATAAATCCAGGTGGACGTTCGCAAGATCGAAGAAGATCTCCACCGTTGAATCCCAGTTAGCAAATGGTCAGATATTAAATGTATTAAAGAAAATAATAATAAGAATAATATATGAAATCCCCAAAATTTCGGATCTTCGGAGGCATTTGAAGTTAATTTAATTATGATTTAAGAAGTTGGAAATAGGGTTTAATTAAAGGTGAGGGAGTGATTGGATACAGGGACAAGACAGAGAGGGTTGGAATTAGTTGTCCGTTGTCCCAAACAAAATAACAAAAATGTTCGGATTCCTAAACTCAGATTAATTCGGAATCAATATTGGGGACTCAATTGGACTCATAGCCCATCATCGCTTCGCTTTTTCCAGTCAAAATTAATTATGCTATTTATTTCACTTTATTCCTTCTTATTCCTTCCTTGTGTCTACTTTTCTTATAATCCAGCTTCAATTCTAAGTTTGATTTATGTAATTTTCAGAATGTTCTTTCACAAGTTGCTAATCAATTTCTGTTTTTTTTAATATCATTTTAATAAGTGTATCTAGTATGTCCAAATCTACCGTTAGCCGGTACTATTTTATTTAGCTTCCCTTTAAGAGCTTCCTGAGATTTCGCTTTAATGGGTTCTTTCTTAAGCATTTTTTTGAGGTTTTCTTTTAAGGGTTTTTCCTCGGAGTCTTAAAACGTGTTCACTGTAGAAATTTTTTTAATACTTTAGAAAATTGGTATTATCTAAGAGGCCAAATATTAAAAAAAAAAAGAAGAAAAAAAAAGAAAATAGAACTTTTACAGATGTTTATAGGTCGGGTCAAGTGGAGTTGAGGTAGTCAAATGTAGAATGGAGTTTGGACGAACATTAATGAAAAGTTGAGTCAATAATGAGGCGCCACAAAACAAAGGAATCTAATAACTAGACGTGGCCAGCAAAACGTGCCTATAATGAAACTTTAAAAAATTATTTTTGAAAAAAAAAACATAAAAAAACACAACAACTTGTTAATGAAATGCATCACTAACGACTGGTTGAGTGCATTGAAAGGGGCGGCTTAGATCCATTCCCCCTTTTCAGTGTCCTTTCCCTTTCCTAAAACACCTTTAAAAATAAAAAATAAAAAAACAAAATAAACGTTTCGTCTTCGGCCTCGGCCCAATGTAGTTATCTAATGGGCCTTAAAGATCAATCCGATACTCAAAAGTTTAGGCCCATGAAATTATAGCCCAGCCCAAAGAAAGAATTAGACAGACACACGTGGCAGGCGAGTGGAATGCAATGCGGTGGCGATTCATAAAACCGCCATGAAAATCATGTGGACACGTGGTTTCATATTAAACCCCGATTTCTAAAAAAAGGAAAAGGGGGAAACGATTTAGGGCAATAGGAATTTGGATCAGAGCACAAAAATGGAGACTAACCAGAAGGTGGAGATGGAGAGGGAGCAGCAGAGGCGAGAAGAAACGAAGAAGCTAGAGCAAGAACCACCGCACTATATATCCCCGATGCAGCCATTGACGGAAAGTGCTTACGGCGGAGGAATGTACGGCGCCGAGGAAGGCCAACAGCAAAGCCTACAGAAGAAGCCCGCGAGCGACACACAGAGTGCCGACGGGCCTGTAGAATCGGGAATGAAGCCGAAGCACGCGCCCCCGCCATCCTCTGGCGATAGAGACATCGACATCACTGGGCAATCGTATTTCCAGTAGCCTGCAAGGTTCGTGGCTACCGATTGCCTTTCGTATGTGTGTAATAATGGCGAAAGGTAGTTCGAATGTTGTAATCTGTTTTCTTTTTTCCTCTCAATAATGCGTTTCCGAGTACTTTGAAGGGCAAATATGGTATTTTACCAACCGGTGATAGTTAGATTTTAATTTAGTGAACATCCTTAATAACGGTACTACTATAATTGGATTCTCCACTCCGCAATAATTTTACTTTAAAAGAAGGAAAGAAAAAAAAAGGGGGCTTACAACAGTCTTCCGTTGTGCTTGAAATTGACATAATAATAATAATACTAAAAGAGGAAATTCATGTACGAAATGTAACCTTTTATTTGGTGTAGAAAATTCATATAGAACAAGTATAATTCAGTCGATCAAAAAAGAAAAATCAATCAGACATTCATCAACCAATTTTGAGAGTAAAACAAGTATAATTCAGAACTCCGTCGCATAAGTAGAACGCATAAAAAGTTAAAATTATAGTGAAAAAAGGTGCAAAATGTCGTGAGCAACTAAGATAAAGGCCAACACAGAGCCCCCAAATGGAGTTAGTTATCTATCATTATTTAATGGTAGAAAAATAAATAGAAAATGTGCATGAGCACCAACTATTTGCTGGAAGGGCTAATGAATCTACGAGAGACTAGAAGGTAGCGCAAAATTTGAAGGGGTAATAATTGTGTATTCAAGCTAGAAACCCATCCCTACAAAATGAAGAGAACGCACACAAAGACTAATTTCCAAATTCACAAAGCCTAATGTACAGGCAAGGTTTCAAAGCCCTACCTCAGAAGAACCTGACAACGGCAACGAATTTCTCTGCTTCCTGCAAGCTCCTCCTCTTAGCCTCCTCCTACCTACCTACTACCCACCAACCAACCTTGATTGCAAAAGCCCTCCATAACACTTTGCTGAGATACTCAAATTCATGAGGCGAGATCTGACTGTTCAAAAAACGCGGCCGAAAAGAACGTGTAATGATTTTTCAAAACATGGGACACTGTTTTCTTGGCTCTGGATGGGGATGGGGATGGGGTGTTATATACAGGATGACACACGTACCAAAATCAACAGGTTTTGTTGAATCAAAAATGTTCTATGGGTATCTCACTCTCGATTCGTTTCAAGGTTGGGGGTGCAAAGTTTGTTTGTGAGTGAAGGGTTTAGTAAAGTACTAACATGAGTAAGGATCAGCAAACAGCTTTGTCTAGTCCGAGAGCATCTCTTCCAATTCAGGCTCCTCAGAGTTATTTGCATCATAATCCAAACTTGTTGCGTTGAACGGACCTTTATCTTGAAAGTCAGCTGGTTCTTCCTCTTCATCTGAGTCGCCCCGTTCTGGCTCATAATCATTATTTTGGTCGTCTACCGTCGCAGGCTCATCTCTCCTTGGTGTAATAATATCACCCTTACCATATGTTCTGGTTCCCGAGTCAGAATTCGGACGAGGCTTCGTATCTGCACAAATACAAGGCGATGGGTTTTCATGAAATTCACCCCTTCCTGGCCTCACCTCATTTGGCTCCCCCATGAAGCCTCTCTGATAAGTTCTAACCCTGGAGGAAAATGCTCTCCATGTCATGTTGGCTCTGTTCAAGAACAACCTATACAGCTTTTTGGCATTTGGACGAATGGTAGGCTTGTGTCCGAAGTATCTTCTGAAATAGAATTGAAATTTTAAAAAATTATTCATCAGCCAATATCCTTGCCATATTACCATTATTGTTTGTAAGAGAGAGAGATTCTGCACCTTCTTCCAGCCAATATCCTTGCCATATTACCATTATTGTTTGTGACAAATACATCGCTCTCATCGCAGACAATGAAATCAAGTGCAGCCATGCGAGAAGAATATGAAGAAAATTTCTCCAATTCCTCCTTGGAAGCTATGGTCTCTTTCGAATGGAAATTAGGAAAAAGGGCTTTCAAAGGGGCTAGCGTCTCTTCCCCTCCATAAACTTCTCCAGATGCCACATAGATATGAACATCCTGCCCATATCCTAGTGCTCTCAACATCAAACCAACCTCTTCTGGAGTCAGTGGACATTTTCCATGCCTCCTTTCTTTATCAGGATTGCTTGCTTGCTGAAATAAATTCAAAGTAGTTTTATACAACAGATCATAGACACATGTCACTGGTTGTCATATTATGTTTGAAATAGCACTAAGAAAATAAACTCATCTGGTGTTTGAAACAAATCTTTGCTTACACATGAACTATAGAGGACCCGGCTCATAATTGTTATGCTATTTACCATATTCCCCAATCAAGGAATAATTATTCCCCCATAATTATTCAAACACAAAAGTCATTTGGCCAGTCGATTTTGTTTCACGGACTTGCAAATAGTATTGAGAAGCATTGCAATTTCTGTGCATAATTCAAACGAATGGATTCACATAATTAAAAATAAAGTCTTACATGTAATGTTTTCCATCGCCTTCGAATCGCTCCAAGTTCTCCCCTTTCCTTTTCACCTCCACCATAATAGCAACCTGAGAATGCTAGCATATCTGGTTCAAACCTATGGTAATACGCAAATGTTTGGATCAAAATCACAACTGATGTCCAATTCTGCAATAAACTTCGGTATGCATTACATGACATGGAATCAAGAGTAAACAAACTATTATTCTATGACACCATATGCATATTAGAATTTAGAAGCTTCAATCAGACAATGAAATTTATTTGTTCGCAGATTCTATACTGTGAGCTACAAGAGACAGTACAAAACACCTACAGAACATGTGAAAATCTTAGTAAAATTAAATGTGTTTCCAAGAGAGATGAAAACTGGCACAAAAGCATTTTGTATTTCATCTCATCAAAGCAATTTCTGATGAATTATTAAAATCTGCGTGCATTTACTAAATGAATCATTTGAGAACAATACACCTGTGGAACTGTATGCTATAAAAACTAACCAATAAATAGAAAAGATGAGCAATTAATCAATAATAGTTCCATAACGACAACTACAATAATTTAGGACCAAAGGCTTATCATCACATGCCTGAGATGCAAAGCAATGTAATGCTTGCTTCTTGCTCGCATTCGTTGGACCAAGTTTTCACCCATTTTCTGTATTGGGTCTGTGAATTTCAAGGCATGGTAGTTAACTCTACATCTCAGTTTCTGTAAATCTGTCTCCAACCTGTTTGCTAGTCTATAATCGAACTTGGAGAGCTGAATAGCCTGACACATTAAGAATACATTTAAAAGAGCACATAGACCACTGTACAAAGTTTCCAACAAATGCATGCAATTGAAACAAGTATAAGAACTCTATGCTTGTGCTGGTAATTGGAAGCTGAACAATAAGAAAGGTTGCATGTTTACGTAAGCAAATGGGTTGTAGAGAACGGACAACTTACATGCCTTTTCAAAAGAACAGGTAATACACGGGTCTGATAACATCTTTCACTACACTTCCTAGGGACACGCATTGAGTGCGTATTCCATGTTTTCCCACCCCTCTTTGGTAGCTGATGAATGATTTTCACATCTCTTGAAAGGAATGATACAAACCAATCAACATCGAAGATCTCTGAAAAGTTGCTGTGGAGAAATAACAAACACATTTTTATAATATAACGAGGATAACTAAAAGCAGAAGTCGACTTTATTTCATATAACGTAACCAACCTGGAGTCCCTCCAAAAGGACTTCTGATCAAGCTTAGGCACAACAAGGGTAGCATTTAATATTCGTGCAGCAACAACTGCATCTGTTATCTGCCATTAGGAGCTTTAGTCAGTTTGAAAATAGCTATAGAAGTAAAGAAATCAATTAAATTTTAGCACCAAAAGGACAGGCAATAACACAATTATCTGAGAGCATTTGAGAGGAGGGCGTTAAAGTTATGGAAGGCATACAAACTAATAATCCAATAATCAACAGCTGCAAAGCCTGCGCATGCTCTATTCAACATAAATTATGACCACTCACGACACATCAAATTCAAACGCATTTTTTCTGTTATCATTTACATAACATTCGGTTTCATTGGGGTCCTCTTGATCAATCTTTATGGCTAATGAATAGCAACGCAATACAAAATCGTCAACAAGAAAAATGCAAGCCCGTAGCATTACCCCAGTTCTTTGTTGATTTAAACCTCCACTAGTTGCGATCAGCAGATAACGATTCGGGTGTGTAATAGCACTAGCCTCTGCAGCAATGTGGGAAAACATTAGTTCTGCTTCTCAGACAAAAAAGAACATCATATACGATGCGAGCTCAGTACAACGAAGGTTAACATGAACTCTACTTCTTTCTTTTTTATTTTCAGGATTAATCAAATTATGAAAGGAAGAAAAAACTAAAGAAATTTTTTTTTGACAAGATTAATGTAGGGATCTAATTATCTCTAAATCTTCAGGAGAAAATACGGTAACTTCGTTCCTTCCAATTGCATAACAGATAAGAAACTTAACGTCTGAATGCACCATAAACTTGTATTAATTAGCAGTGTAGAGGGCAGGGAGGAGCTTGGAATTCCACAGAAACATACTCTGAAACTTATTGCTAGCATTAGTACATCCAGAGTAGAACTTCGCATTTCTGGAAGTCCAAAGATCACGGGCGGATCTCGCTCCATTGCGCTGGTTACAAAAACAAGAAAATCACGTCAATAAACAAAGATCGGTCAGCTTCAGCATCAACTAGGATAAACAGTAAAAGACACTGAAGTGGAAAATTCCGGAAAACCCTAACCGGAACGCGAAAATGCGAAACTCCAATCTCCTCGACGGAAGCAGCATCGAACTGAACCTATTCCATGGGGGCGGGGGGGAATCAGCAATTAGAATCGGAAAAAAAAAATAATCAATCAAAACACGAGAAATACAAAGTGGAAGGTGACATATACCGGAGGAATGCGGCGGGAATGATCGGAATCATTGGGAGAAGGAGCGAGAAAAGAGAGGACTGCAAAGAAGAGAAGCAGACTACCGCTAATGGCCAAAATGAATGGGATTAAGAATCTAAACCGATGATAATAGTGGTTGCGCCGCCGCTGAAAAGCCATAGCTCCTGGTGACAGTGACCACCGAAGCTCCTGTCTCTCTCTGAATCACTCCTCCACTCTGGTTGGGGAGGAGGAAAATGGGAAGAAGAAGAAACAGGGAAAAATGGAAAGAAAAAAATGAAACGAAAATGGATCTGTGTGTGCTACGGCTCCAGCATAGGCTGAAGAATCCTCATCTTTTTTCCTTTTTCTTTTTTCTTTTCCTGAAAAAGGACACTCTGTCTCCAATAACGACAACGGAATCGGAGAAATAAAATATATAGCCTACTGTCTATCTAACGCAAACGATTCGTCGGGGAGTTGTGGGCCGCCCGGCCCATCTTGGTCCCTTTGCTGACACTACCTTTTTATTTATTTATTTATTTATTTAATGCGTATTTCCAATTCTACCCTTCCTTTCCATTTGCATGTGACTCCTTTTTTCTGCTCTCCGTACTCTGCAGATTCAACTATTTTCGACTTTTAAATTCTTTTCTGTTTTTTTTTTTTTTTTTTAATTTTAATTTTACGATAACAACTTGTTTGAAGCTTCAACCAAAATGTGGCCAGTTTCTGTACGACGGCGTTTTGGATTACTTGTATTGGCCAAAATTAGGATTAAACTAGTTTCTTTCTAATTACTTCTATGGCCAACTTAATCTTCTAATTGATGTTAATTGATGTTAATCTTCTCGTCTTAATATCAGTAAGAAATTGCTAGACAAGTAGATAACGTACCCATTGGATAAACTTTAATCGTTTCAATTCGGCTACTAATTAACTGTTAATAAGTGCTTTATTTGCATTTGGACGCTCTCCAAGTAAAAATGCAACAATTGTTTTGATCTCTTGTTCTAATTCCATGTTGAAAAAACGAAATATTCAACTTAATTAGCGTAGAACAAAGAGACTCTTAATGATTTCATTTTCATCTATTAGGCTGTGTAGCCATCATCATAGGAACTTGCAAGTCTCATTGCCCATGGACTCTGATTAGGGGAGGAACAAAGGGAATATCCCAGCATGGCAGACCATCTCAAGTTGAGAAGGGCAAAACTTAGGCTCTCTTCAGAGCATTTGAAGAATTCCAAAATCCGTGATTCCGCTTCGGAGTCTTCTGCAAGCACAAAGTCTTCGACATATTCTGTAACGACTGGAGAAGTGTCCTGTTCTTTGCATAGCATACGCATGCTCAGTACTTGCAGCGCTTCCATGGCGGTGCTGTGATAGCCAAGGCTCACATATGCCGAGAAGACACTATGGCACGTTGAAGGGTCGGGTTGGATCTTTTTGCGCTTCATCTTCTCAACGACAAACTCAATCACATCAATCCTTCCCTAACATCCATTTCAAAAAAAAAAAAAAAAAAAAAGTACCCAGAATGAGAGATGAGCTTAAGCAGTTGTTGGGGCCCTGGAATTATGCATGGGTGCATTGAGAGTGTTGTTCTTATCAAGTTACTGACATGAAGCCATGGGGGTTACCTTTTCACAAGCTTTCTGCACGATTGTATTCATTATAACTACATCAAGTTCAATCCCTTCTGAACTGGCTTGATCTAAGAGATTCAAGGCATCATCAAATCTCTCAAATCCCAGCACAATCTGCATCAGGATAATCCAAACGTTAAATTTGAATGATTGAATAACACGATAAAGGAAAAAATTAATGGTAAGAAGAAAGAGTATCAATTGGCGATGATTGACATGGAAACTTATGGAAAGTTTTAATAGTGCATCCTCCAGAGAGTTCAATCACCAAGCTATTAGGATTGTTCACTAGTGTTGGCAATATACATGAACCATGGGTGTCGGGTGTCGGGGTTCAAGAATAAGTTCGTGGACAGCTTTCGAACTGTACAATGGCATGTAAATCGGCCAAACTCAAGGACGGTTAAAAGAAAATATGATGAGATGGAATCAGCAACTTTAAAGTTAACAAACTCTAAATCTGAAAACAAAAATATATAGTTGATAGTCCACAATGTTCAGAAGTATACTTGCAGTGAGTAATGTACATGAATACCTTTACTAGACTGGTATAAGTTAATATCTGAGGACAAAACCCGGAGCGAATCATCAGGGAGAGAAGAGCAAACGCAGATTTCAAGCATCCGATAACACTACAACAGTCGATCATCATCTCAAATGTCGCAGCATCTGGAAAGAGACCAGAATGCTTCATATTATTGAATAATTCTATTGCCATATGGATCTGCAAAAGTATAGAACGGTGTTTAACACAAACGAGGAAGTCCTCTATAGCTTAACAGAAGAGAGAGTGCATGACAACAAGCGCTTACCTCTTTGGATTCAACTAAAAAATGCAACGCTGTGTTGTAAATAGGCGTCCCCAGCCAAGTGTTATTGTAATAGAAGAGGTTCTCTGCCACATTTAAATACTGAAGAAGCTCCTTCGTCATCCCCTCCGCACCAAGAGCTTTCAACTAAAGGGAACAAATGAATCAAAGGAAAAAGAGAAACAATAATAATGCCATAAGCAGTGAGGGAACTTGATTCTTCCACTTGCTAATATGGTTCAAGTAGAAAGATTTTATAAGTATAGTAACAAATAAAAATAATTTAATTGTGCGCCCAATGCTCTTCCTGCTATGTTCTAGTGCTAAATAAGATTGTTCCAACTTAATTTATCAAAACCTTTTACCTACATGTAAAACAATTCTCGAAGTGAAACTTGAGCATATATACACATATCAAAGAACATCTGCATGGATCCCGAGAAGATGTTCTTCCAACAATATCGACGGTGTAGTGTACATATAAAATGAAAGAGACTTTGAAACGAGAATCAAATAGAGCTTGAAATTTTGGGAGGAAAGTAGATGGGGTCCTGCAATGTGCTCTAGTCAGATGTGGGTCATTAGCAGACAAGAGCATATACAACTGCAAGTTTTTTTTTTTTTTTTTTTTCCT